CCAAATTGTTCGTACTGGGATTTTTTCTAACATCGTGATATTCGTATACTCAAACTTTAAGGGTTTTTATTGTTACCATATCTTTTCCCTTCCCAGTTATTTTCTTAAACTTGGTTATAAATGTTCAATTCAAGATTTTTATCTTGCAAATTCGCTGACAACCTCGTTCCCAGGCATTTCTCTCTCCTGGAGGAAAAACCGCTCTTTTTATTCGAATCCATGACCAACCACTCATGTAAAAGTGTGCCAAATAAGAGCTTAAAAGCCTGTGTAGGAAGCAGTATATATATAGCTCAGTGGATTGATGTGTGTGATGCATGGTAGAAATAACTGCCGAACATCAGCCTTCGCTCAGAATTCGATACCGAGAGGGTCTTAGTACGAGTCAGATAGCGTGTGTTTAAGGCATTCAAATGAACATAACCGGAACCCTACCTCCAACTGGAAATTTGAAGCCAAACTTGAAGGCCAGTCCCAGTCTTTTCACGCATCATATAAACACGCGGATCTTGACCCCCAGGCCCGCGTTTCTGGGAGTCAAGATTTGGCTTCAAGAAAAAGATAGCAGTTTATCTGAAGGTGGCGTTCCAGTTATGATTTAAGGTGATTTTTGAAGATGCTTAAATTGCTATTTTCCGTGACCGGACGGTGTCCAATATATTTTAATGATCACTTTGTCATACAGATCAGGTGCTGAATAGGACTATCGCGAAAACTGCTGTCATAGTCAACTTCACTCGACCTTCGTGACTTTACAACTCATCAGCATGATTTGCAAGATACAAATCTTGAAATGAAAATGTATACCCAAGTTTAAGAAAATAACTGGGTAGGGAAAGATATAGTAACAATAAAAACACTTTGAACTGATATCGGACAGGATACACAACTATTAACAACCATGTTGTTCGTTTGATCGATCAGTCGGTGTAGAAGATATGTATGTTTCTACGGCAAAGCGTGCTCAACTTCGCAAACCAGGCGCGCCTGGACCGGCTTTCCTTGCATATGAAATATGATCCAGCTTCTCGCTTGAATTTTGAACATTTCCTTTCACAATTTCTTATTGCGAATTACATTTTTATCACCCCGAACTACAACACATCAATTGCAATTTTCCAAACGCAACAAACAGACTCCTGTACTACCCCTCTCGAAGACTTATTTCAATTTAGCACGCGATATCCAGGGACCACGTGACCAGCTCCGACCAGGGATTTTTCCAGAAGAGAGAAACGCCTGGGAACGAGGTTGTGAGCGAATTTGCATGATAAAAATCTTGAATTGAACATTTATAACCAAGTTTAAGAAAATAACTGGGAAGGGAAAAGTAACACCAAAAAACCCTTAAAGTTTGAGTACGACTATCACGATGTCAGAAAAAATCCCAGTACGAATAATTTGGTAATAAATATTTATTTCCGTTTCAATGTGAAATACTAATTGATGTATCTGTTTGAACAAATTTTTCATATGAAAGTACTTGACTATTGTACAACAATATTAATTACAAGTTCATAAATATCATCATGGAGATAAATAATGATAGTTCATGAAGTATATTATGTCAATGTTCATGTTGCTGCTGTATGCATCTTTCGATGTCATTCTTTTCTCTTCCCATAGTGTTTGTCTTGTCGGTATTTCTTACATTATCATGACTTCTTCCACGATTTCTCTGTAATCGTGTTTAACAATGGCTTTGCATGTCATTCTTGTTTTTAACGTCAGTTCATTTGTTCTGCTCGTGCAAGTACTTCCACTGATACAAGGACATTGATCTCCCATGATCTGTCGAAATACGTTACATTTATTTCCTTCAGAAATGAAACGTTTACATCTGTTTCCTGATGTACAGCATTCTCCGACACCACAATCAGAACTCGATTCACAACGTTTGTGTAGTTTGCCTTCAACGATAGCGGCAGTTATGACAATAATGAAAAAGAAAGTATTTCCTGTAGATGTATTCATTTTGTTCAGACCACTTCAAATGTACTTCAATACTACTTCACTTGTGAATGTGAATGATATCTGTTGTCAAGAGTGTCTTTTATACTTCAGGTACATGATATCAAAACAAAACATCCCATTGCCTCAGGCTGTGAACGCACATTACAAACTGTGAGCACACTTTTCATTCACGTGCAGGAGACTTAAATATTTTGATTTATTTTATATTCTGAGTTCCAGCCAGCGACTGTTATTTCAAGAGTTCCAGTCAGAACGCGAGTTAATAATAGTGTGATGCCATTGTTATTACAGTATTTTCAAAATATGATGTTACATGATGTTACTATAGAGTAATAAACCGCAGACTATATATGCATTTTAACGAACGACGTGAAAACCCATGCAAACAACTTTTGCAGAATGCAGATTATATACATCATTAGTCTTTTAAGTCAGATTTGACCCAAAGATTTTTGCCCATTTATATAATTAACAATTATTGAATGAGGTTGAGCACGATATGAAGAATTATCAAGCCCGAAGTTTGCCGTTATCAACCGAAGCCGAAGGCTGAGGTTGATAACGGCAAACTGCGGGCTTGATAATTCTAACTATTGTGCGAAAACCGAGTTCAGTAATTGTTTTATTATTTATTTAAAAAATTTAAAACAATCGGAAGCCATTTGTATTTTATTTGTACTAAGAAAAAAAACAATCGTCGTCGTCATATCAATGGCGTCAGCGAGTCAATATGATTCTCGTCGTCATAGTAATATGATCATGGCGCAGTCCAAATTTTTTTCATATTGACTCTTTGACGTCATTTTGCTAATACGAATGTGAAAAATCCATATTTGGTTAGCCATTGAGTTGATATGACAATTTCATAGTTGGTTGTTAGCCAATCAGAAACCAGGAATTTTTTAAATAAATAATAATAATACTTAAAGTCCGTATGTAAACAAAGGCTTTGTTTACATTTCGGTATCCAAAATATTGAATTTTATTCGACAAGTATTTATATTTTCATGATTCTAGAGTATAATAATAAATTATCAAGAGACAACAATCAAGTTTTGCAAGAACATAAAATGAAATAAAAACCTAAATAAACTGTTTGTAAATAAAAAGAGGGCTCCTTTGTGCACGTGCGCAGATCGGACTGTACCGCATCTTTAAACGAATCATATTGGACATATATTTAATAGCAATTTCAAATCGAAAATGTTATAGTCTAGTAAATTCGGTTAATATATACTATATATACTCTAAAATAAACGAGCACGACAAATGAACTGACGTTAAAAACAAGAATGACATGCAAAGCCATTGTTAAATACGACTACAGAGAAATCGTGGAAGAAGTCATGATAATGTAAGAAATACCGACAAGACAAACACTATGGAAAGAGAAAAGAATGACATCGAAACAACAACCCTGGCTTGCGAGGTTGCGAAACAACATGTGCAGTTGAGTTGCACAAGCATACAGCAGCAAGAAAATAAAGACAAAGAATGATTCGTCTACGCGAACATTGGCATAATATACTTACGAACCATCATTATTTATCTCCATATTTATGAACTCCTATTTAGTATTGTTATACAATAGTCAAGTACTTTCATATATGAAAAATTTGTTTAAACAGATATATCAAGTATTTCACATTGAAACGGAATTAAATATTTATTACCAAATTATTCGTACTGGGATTTTTTCTGACATCGTGATATTCGTATACTCAAACTTTACGGGGTTTTTATTGTTACCATATCTTTTCCCTTCCCAGTTATTTTCTTAAAGTTGGTTATAAATGTTCAATTCAAGATTTTTATCTTGCAAATTCGCTCACAACCTCGTTCCCAGGCATTTCTCTCTCCTGGAGGAAAAACCGCTCTTTTTATTCGAATCCATGACCAACCACGCATGTAAAAGTGTGCCAAATAAGAGCTTAAAAGCCTGTGTAGGAAGCAGGATATATATAGCTCAGTGGATTGATGTGTGTGATGCATGGTGGAAATAACTGCCGAACATCAGCCTTCGCTCAGAATTCGATACCGAGAGGGTCTGAGCACGAGTCAGATAGCGTGTGTTTAAGGCATTGAAATGAACATAACCGGAACCCTACCTCCAACTGGAAATTTGAAGCCAAACTTGAAGGCCAGTCCCAGTCTTTTCACGCATCATATAAACACGCGGATCTTGACCCCCAGGCCCGCGTTTCTGGGAGTCAAGATTTGGCTTCAAGAAAAAGATAGCAGTTTATCTGAAGGTGGCGTTCCAGTTATGATTTAAGGTGATTTTTGAAGATGCTTAAATTGCTATTTTCCGTGACCGGACGGTGTCCAATATATTTTAATGATAACTTTGTCATACAGATCAGGTGCTGAATAGGACTATCGCGAAAACTGCTGGCATAGTCAACTTCACTCGACCTTCGTGACTATACACAACTCATCAGCGTGATTTGCAAACAGACTCCTCTGCTACCCCTCCCGAAGGCGTATTTCAATTTAACACGCGATATCCAGAGACCACGTGACCAGCTCCGGCCAGGGATTTTCCTCCAGGAGAGAGAAACGCCTGGGAACGAGGTTGTTGGCGAATTTGCAAGATAAAATCTTGAATTGAACATTTATAACCAAGTTTAAGAAAATAAGTTAACTGGGAAGGGAAAAGATATAGTAACAATGAAAAACCCTTAAAGTTTTAGTACGAATATCACGATGTCAGAAAAAATCCTCCAAGTACGAATAATTTGGTAATAAATATTTATTTCCGTTTCAATGTGAAAGACTTGATATAACTGCTTAAACAACTTTTCATATGAAAGTACTTGACTATTGTATAACAATATTAATTAGAAGTTTATAAATATGGAGATAAATAATGATGGTTCGTGAAGTATATTGTGCCAATGTTCGCGTAGACGAATCATTCTTTGTCGTTTATTTTCTTGCTGCTGTATACTTGTGCAACTCAACTGCACATGTTGTTTCGATGTCATTCTTTTCTCTTCCCATAGAGTTTGTCTTGTCGGTATTTCTTACATTATCATGACTTCTTCCACGATTTCTCTGTAGTCGTGTTTAACAATGGCTTTGCATGTCATTCTTGTTTTTAACGTCAGTTCATTTGTTGTGCTCGTGCAAGTACTTCCACTGATACAAGGACATTGATCTCCCATGATCTGTCGAAATACGTTACATTTACTTCCTTCAGAAATGAAACGTTTACATCTGTTTCCTGATGTACAGCATTCTTCAACACCACAATCAGAACTCGATTCACAACGTTTGTGTAGTTTGCCTTCAACGATAGCGGCAGTTATGACAATAATGAAAAATAAAGTTGTTTTTCCTGTAGATGTATTCATTTTGTTCAGACCACTTCAAATGTACTTCAATACTACTTCACTGGTGAATGTGAATGATATCTGTTGTCAAGAGTCTCTCGTCTTTTATACTTCAGGTACATGATATCAAAACAAAACATCCCATTGCCTCAGGCTGTGAACACACGTTACAAAATGTGAGCACACTTTTCATTCACGTGCAGGAGACTTAAATATTTTGATTTATTTTTCTGAGTTCCAGCCAGCGAACTGTTATTTCAAGAGATCCAGTCAGAACGCGAGTTAATAATAATGATGTCAAGTGTGATGTCACTAATATGACAGTATTATTTTCAAAATATGATGTTACATGATGTTACTATAGACTTCTAATAAACTGCAGAGCTATTATATATATATATATATATATATATATATATATATATATATATATATATATATATATATATATATATATATATATATATATATATATATATAACATATATATATATATATATATATATATATATATATATATATATATATATATATATATATATATATATATATATATATATATATATATATATACATATATATATATATATATATATATACATTTTAACGAACGACGTGAAAACCCATGCAAACAACTTTTGCAGATTATATGCATCATCATATATACTCATTGGGTCAAATCTGACTTTTTAAATAAACGACTAACAGATTTGCCCATTTATATAATAATACTTGAATGAATCATATTGGACATATATTTAATAGCAATTTCAAATCGAAAATGTAATATAGTCTAGTAAATTCGGTTGGTACTGTATATACCATGCGATAAATCATATAAAAAAATAAACTGGTTCAGTCACACTTATTAATACTGTACATTGTTTATATATAGTTTAACATCAAATAAATCAAAATATTTATTAATAAGTCTCCTGCACGTGAATGAAAAGTGTGCTCACAGTTTGTAATGTGTTTTCACAGCCTGAGGCAATGGGATGTTTTGTTTTGATATCATGTACCTGAAGTATAAAAGACGAGAGACTCTTGACAACAGATATCATTCACATTCACCAGTGAAGTAGTATTGAAGTACATTTGAAGTAGTCTGAACAAAATGAATACATCTACAGGAAAAACAACTTTAATTTTCATTATTGTCATAACTGCCGCTATCGTTGAAGGCAAACTGCACAAACGCTGTGAATCGAGTTCTGATTGTGGTGTTGGAGAATGCTGTACATCAGGAAACAGATGTAAACGTTTCATTTCCGAAGGAAATAAATGTAACGTATTTCGACAGATCATGGGAGATCAATGTCCTTGTATCAGTGGAAGTACTTGCACGAGCACGACAAATGAACTGACGTTAAAAACAAGAATGACATGCAAAGCCATTGTTAAACACGACTACAGAGAAATCGTGGAAGAAGTCATGATAATGTAAGAAATACCGACAAGACAAACACTATGTGAAGAGAAAATAATGACATCGAAACATGTATACAGCAGCAAGAAAATATTCAAAATAAACGACAAAGAATGATTCATCTACACGAACATTGACATAATATACTTCTACTTAAAGTACTTTTAAAGCATGTAAGTACTTTTAAAGCATGTTCCACATAGAATAGTTACAATTCGTCCAAGGGATAAACCTTGGGTAAACTCTGAAATTAGGAGGGCAATTCGGAAAAGAAATAGATTGCTAAAATATTACTGTAGACATAAGAGTCCAGAAGCCTGGGAAATTTATAGAAGGCAAAGAAATTTCACTACAATACTTATACGCAAACGCAAGCTACTCTATTACAATACTCTTAATGCAAAATTACAGAACCCAAAAATAGGACCGAAAAAGTGGTGGAGCATAGTTAAGTCGTTATATGGAAGCAAAATCCAATGCTCAACACCGACACTTATTGAGAATAATTGTTTGGTATCTGATGCAAAAGAAAAAGCTGCATTATTTAATGATTATTTTGTCACTCAATCTAGAGTTAATGACACAGATGCTACTTTACCTAATTTAGAGGCTTTTCAAAATTACATAACATTATCAAATATCTCAACTTCAGAGTACGAAGTTAAAAAATTGTTGCAAAATGTTGATACTTCGAAAGCTTGTGGTGCCGATGGTGTTGGAAATGCATTGCTTAAGGCAAGCTCTAATAATATTGCATGTTCTTTTTCACGATTTATTAATCAATCACTTTCTGTGGGTGTTTTCCCTTTGAAGTGGAAATTGGCAAATGTTGTACCTATTTTTAAAAAAGATGATCGTCAATCAAAAGAGAACTATCGTCCTATTTCATTGCTGCCATCATTATCTAAAATTTGTGAAAAAATTGTTTTCGTCAGACTTTATAATTTTTTACTCGAAATAAATTTTCTAAACCCGTTTCAGTCTGGATTTCGTCCTGGTGATTCTACTGCTAATCAACTTATTTTCATAGTTCATAAAATTCATGAGGCTTTAGAGCTTGGCAAAGAAGTGAGAATGATTTTCCTGGATATTAGTAAAGCTTTTGATAAGGTCTGGCACAAAGGACTCCTCTTCAAGCTTGAGCGCTTAGGAGTGAGAGATCCTCTTCTCAAATGGATTAAAAGTTACTTAACGGAGAGAAAACAGTGTGTCTTAATAGACGGTCAGTCATCTGACTGGAAAGAAATCGATTCGGGTGTCCCTCAGGGCTCTGTTTTGGGTCCTTTGTTGTTTTTGATTTATATTAACGACATAACTCGCGACCTCCGAAGTAATAATTTTTTATATGCTGACGATACTTCTCTTTTGGAAATAGTAGATGATCCCTGTCTTACAGCTGATCGATTAAACCATGATCTCGAATGCATTAAAGCATGGACCAAAGATTGGCTTGTTACTATCAATCCAGACAAGACCAAATCAATGATATTCTCTGTCAAACGAATTAGGCCAAATCATCCTCCCCTATTTTTTAATAATAATGAAATTCAAGAAGTTTTTAATCATAAACACCTAGGAGTAACACTTTCATCCAATTTAACTTGGACAGCGCATATTATTAATATACACGAGAAAGCTTCCAAAAGGGTGAATCTTCTTAAAGGTTTAAAGTTTAAGTTAAACCGGAAAACCTTGTCAAACTTGTACAAATGTCTTATTAGACCATTGTTAGAATATGCCGATGTATTATGGGATGGGTGTTCTGATAATGAAAGTGATTTAATTGAGCATGTACAATATCAGTCAGCCATGGTGGTCACGGGTGCTATGAGGGGTACTAGTAGGTCAAGAGTATTGGAAGATCTGGCTTGGGAAGATATGAAAACTAGACGCCAGGTTCACAAACTTATTTTATATTTTAAAATAGTAAATAATCATGTTCCAGAATACTTGTCAAAATTATTGCCCCAGACGGTTGAACAAAGGTCCGGTTTATCATTAAGGCAGTCATCTAATATTTCTTTGTTTTTTGCTAGAACTGAAAGATTTAAAAATCCTTTTTTCCTTCGGCTACTATGTTATGGAATTCGGTTGAGTACTCAGTTCATAGCTTGCCATCTATTAATTTATTCAAAAAAGCTATTCTTAAATTTTTTGATATTTCATGTGACTGCAATCATGTCGGAGATTGTGACGAACACTCGCGTGACCGGAAGTAAACTGCTATAATTCAGCCAATAGTAGAGCTGCATTTACATGTGCTTATATAGCGAAATATTTTGTTGTTGACAGAGAGAGTTTTTGTGAGATTACCGATATATAGCGAAGATATATCATTAAAACTTTATTTAAATATCGATACGAGTGATTTTTCGTAGATACGTACTCTGGAGGCGAGTAATTTACGAAACGTGGCACCTTCAGACGGAATTTGAGATTATAAATATTATCGTGTACGTATATTTATAATATATTGTGAGATTATCGTGTATGTTTATTTCGTGACGACGTGGTTATATTTTGGATATTATGGCGACCAAACCCGATGAGAAAATCGCAGTTCTGGATGTTAAATTAAAGCAGTTACTTATTACATGTGGGAGAACCGAATCTGTGTTAGAATCGACGAAAGATATCGCAATAAATCGCCAAATAGAGTCGCTAAAAGCGCTTTCGAAAGATGTTGAACAATCGCGTCGCGAAGTCGAGCTACTAAAAATTACAAACGACGAACCAGAAGATGAAATAACGACATGGAATGCCGAAGTTGAAGAGAAATTATCGAAGGCAGATGAGGATATTAAGCGACTCGAGAAATGGCAAGACGAATACAAGCAAAAGAAAGAATCCATAGCGCGAGAAGAGCAGTTCAAGTTTGAAATGAAGCTTCACGAAACTAAATTACAACTTCAATCGGAACAGAATACGAAAGTTTTGGGTAAACAAACCATTGGAGCGGAGAAAGAAGTTGCCGTAAAGCTGCCAAAGCTAGTAATAACGAAGTTCGACGGGTCATTTACCGACTGGAATCGGTTTTGGGGGCAATTCAGTGAATCTATAGAGAAATCTGGCATCGCAAACGTTGTGAAATTTTCGTATCTAAAAGAGCTACTTGGCGACAAAGTACGACGTGACGTCGAGTCACTTCCGTTTACTTCCGAAGGTTATAATCGGGCGAAAGCTATATTGTGTGAGAAATACGGGAAAGAAAGCGAGATCGTGAAAGCATATAGTAAGAACATACTAGATTTACCGTTAATAACATCGAATAACCCAAAAAGGATCAGCGAGTTCAGCGAAAAGTTAACGTACTGTGTACAGTCCTTGCAGACTATGAAAAAGTTGGATGGCGTGAATGGTCTGACCTCATTGACACTTGACAAATTACCGGCGATTCGGGGAGATTTGGTAAGATCAGATAAGGAATGGGAGTCTTGGGATCTGGACAAACTTGCAGAAGCCTTGCGGCTGTGGGTGCGCAGGAATCCAGTTGATACATCACATCGTGATCGGGACGAAGAGCAAGAGAAGAAGAGACGAGAGATGAAACTGTTTCATTCTCGTCTAGGACGGGGTTGTGTATATTGTGATTCTAGTGATCACAAAGCTAATGACTGTCAGAAAGTAACAACAGTCGCTGATCGCAAACAAATCCTTGCCAAGAAACATCTTTGCTTCAACTGTGCTCTCGGGAGCCACCAAGCAGCCAAATGTCAGAGTAAAAATTCGTGCCAAAAGTGTGGTAAGCGGCACCACACATCTATATGTGATAAATCGACTACATCAGAGGAAAGAAAAATCGCTTTGACCGCAAATGAAGTAGGAGAGGGGGTATTCCCAGTAGTCTTGGTGAAAGTAGACGGGATAACAACGCGAGCACTTATTGACAGTGGGTCCAGCAGCTCCTATGTTTCAGCGAAAGTTGCAGATATGATGAACAAGAAGCCAAGCGAACGTACGACAAGACAGGTGGAAATGTTGATGGGGACACATACTACTCAATTGGAACTCTATGATGCTGAGCTCTCCTCCATCGATGGTGAGTTTAAAATGGATGCGAAATTGACAAAAGTGAACAAGTCTCAATTGCTAACAATACCCAATCCACAATACCAACGAATGGCAGCGACATATTCCCACCTACAACCAGTCGACATTGCGGACAAGGATACCAAAGATCAACTACCTATACATATAATCCTCAGCGTGGGGGATTATGCCAAGATCAAAACAAATACAAAGCCACTCATTGGGAAAACCGGGGAACCCATCGCGGAACTTACTCGATTTGGATGGTTCCTCATGTCTCCAGGTAATGAGTTTGACAGACGAACAATGTTATTGACACAAACCAGTCAACTCGACTACGAGCAGCTCTGCCGCCTTGATGTACTGGGTCTAGAAGATTCATCGGAACATGATCAGAAGATAGTACATTCAGAATTTAAAGAGCAATTACGGCGTTCGCCAGAAGGATGGTATGAAACTGGCTTACCTTGGCGCAGCAATCACCCGGTACTCCTTTCGAACAAGACCGGAAGCCTGCATCGCCTGAATGGTTTGACCAAGAAATTGCAACGTGATGGCTTGACTGAGCAATATGACAATATAATTCGTGAACAAGTGGAAGCAGGGATTGTGGAAAAGGCACCGGACATGCCAGTGAATAAAGAATTCTATATACCACACAAGTGTGTTGTCAAGGAAAAGTCGGAGACGACCAAATTACGTATAGTATACGATGCTTCAGCACGTGCAACGCCGGACAGTCCATCCCTGAACGAATGCCTGCACAGCGGTCCATCCCTGCAAAACAAGCTCTGGGATGTCCTGATCCAGCAACGAGTTTTTCCTGTAATGGTTTCGGCAGATATTCGTCAAGCCTTTCTACAGATACGAGTGAGAGAAAATGAAAGAGATGCCTTGCGGTTTCATTGGCGGAGAAGTGAAATGGACGTGGTAGAAACATTTCGTTTTGCGAGGGTATTATTCGGTTTAGCTCCATCACCGTACCTGCTCGAAGGGGTCCTTGAAAGTCATCTCGACGCATGGGCTGACAGATATCCTGATGAGGTTGCACTGCTACGCCGTAGCATGTATGTTGATGACCTGTTAACGGGAGGGAGAACTGTCCAAGAAGTACAGACGAGGAGAGAGATAGCGAAGGAAATATTACATGATGCCACTTTTGAGCTTCACAAATGGAACTCAAACATTCCACAATTAGAAGATGATGCATCCCCAGAAGATCACCGAGAGCAATCCTACGCGAAGCAGCAACTTATGGTCAAATCGAGTGAAACTAAGCTACTAGGGCTGAAGTGGGATAAACGTAAGGACACCCTAGCAGTGACATTTCCGGACGATGAAGTGCAGAAAACGAAGCGTGGGGTATTGAGCAAGCTGGCGAAAGTATACGATCCGTTGGGGCTGGTTTCACCGGTGACTCTCGAAGGAAAGCAAATATACCGAGACGTGTGCGACGCAAAGACATCTTGGGACGTGAACCTTGACGGTAAACTCCTGGAAAGATGGGTGAAATGGGAACGCTCCTTACCATTGGAACAAACGGTACCGAGATCAATCGTGAATCACCAAGAAGAAGTTACAGAAATCGAACTGCACACCTTTGGTGACGCATCCATTCAAGGTGTTGGGGCTGCAGTATACGCTGTTGTCAGACAACCATCGGGGACAACTCAACAACTAGTGACGGCTAAGAGCAGATTAGCGAAGCGAAGCTTGACTGTACCAAGGTTAGAGTTGGTTGGTGCACACATGGCCACCAACCTGGCAGTAAATGTTCGTAACGCCCTTCCGAATGTTCCAGTGCCATCTATTCATGCATGGACCGACAGCATGGTTGCGCTACATTGGATATGTGGAAATGGAATGTACAAACAATTCGTAGCCAATCGTGTGGCCAAAATCCAAGCGCACCCGGAAGTCCAGTGGCGGTATGTGCCCACATACGATAATCCTGCTGACATAGCAAGTCGTGGAGGAAAAATCTCATCTTCAGAGCTATGGTGGACTGGACCAGAATGGCTCCAAGATCCTTCTCAATGGCCAGATAACCCAGTGGTACAGACGTCGCCTGAAGCGGAAGCAGAAGCGAAGGTGATTCGTGAAGTCCTATGTGTGTCCAAATCAGAACCAGCATCTGACGAATTTGACGATATCCTTGGACGAACCAGCTTTCGTAGAACTCTGCGGATTTGTGCCTGGATGAACCGATTCATCCACAACTGTAGATATCAAGATAAGAGAGTCGGACCCTTGGCTACAGAAGAAGTTGAAGCTGCAAAGGAATGGTGGATCAAGCGAGTACAGTTGCGGGACAGCTTGCAAACCCATTACCCGGAAACCAGCGCTCGTTTAGGCCTCGAACGAACTGAACGTGACATCATGGTATGCAAAGGGAGAATCCAGGGAAGTTATCCTATTTACCTTCCGCATGATGCAGTATTTACAAGGAAGCTAATTCAGCGCGTACACTGTGAAACGCTCCACGGGGGAGTGGGGATTACCATGGCCGCAGTGAGAGAGTGTTATTGGGTCCCTCGACTTAGATGTTTAGTTAAGAAAGTACGCGGTGATTGCTGGGGTTGTAAGAGATTCCGTGTGAGAGCAGCAACCGTACCAGTTCCGGGACTTCTACCAAAGGACAGAACTAATCCAGGAACTGCCTTTGAAGTGGTCGGTATAGATTTCGCGGGACCAGTGAAATACAAGAAAACGGCGAAAACAGAAGGAAAGGCATATTTGGCAATATTCGCTTGCAGCCTGTCAAGAGCCATTCATTTGGAGCTTCTGCAAAACCTCGAGACGCCCACATTTCTCGTAAGCCTGAAGAAGTACATCGCCCGCCGTGGGCGCCCGCGAGTAATATATTCTGATAACGGTGGAACATTCGTGAAGGCGAGTGCCTGGTTAAAGCAAATACGTAAGGATGAACGAATACGTGGGCTAGTTGAGGAATACGAGATAACATGGAAGTTCAATCTCAGCCGCGCCCCGTGGTGGGGCGGCCAATTTGAAAGGTTAATCGCAGTGGTAAAGTCGGCAATGTACAAGGTTGTTGGAGGAGGATTCTTGACGTGGGACGAACTAGCTGAACTGATGTTAGATATCGAAATACAGATAAACCGACGACCCTTATCATACATGGAGGACGATGTGGAATTGCCAACCCTAACCCCATCTACATTCTTGTACCAACGTTCAAACCATCTACCCATCGAAGAGTCATGGAGAATCGAAAGTCATGATCTTAGGAAACGAGCTAAGTACCTTCTTGCCTGCAAGAACAACCTGTGGAAACGTTGGAAGAGGGAATATCTAACGGCACTGAGAGAAAGACATAGTATGATTCATGCGAGAACGAAGTTCTGTCCCAAATCTGGAGATGTGGTCATAGTGTTGAGCGACAACAAGAATCGGGGAGTGTGGCCTTTAGCTGTGGTCGAAGAAACCTTTCCTGGCAAGGACGGAGTCGTGAGAGCTGTGCGGCTCAAGACAAAGAACGGGGTACTGGAAAGACCGGTGCAGTACTTATATCCCATGGAACTGAGTTGTGACGAGTTTTCAAAGAAACCAACGAAGCTGAATGCTGCAGCACCAAAGTTTGAACCTCGACCGAGCAGAGCAGCTGGCGAAGCAGCGCGTATACGTATTCAAGAGATGGCAGAAGAAGGCGACATATGAACATATGAACAAATCGAACACGCAGATTTTAATCTATATTTACATTGAGTTAAAGTAGGAAAGTTGCAAAACAATTATTATTGGCTAAACTGTGAAATAATATACATCCCCCTGGGAATGTATATGGGGGAGTGTGTCGGAGATTGTGACGAACACTCGCGTGACCGGAAGTAAACTGCTATAATTCAGCCAATAGTAGGGCTGCATTTACATGTGCTTATATAGCGAAATATTTTGTTGTTGACAGAGAGAGTTTTTGTGAGATTACCGATATATAGCGAAGATATATCATTAAAACTTTATTTAAATATCGATACGAGTGATTTTTCGTAGATACGTACTCTGGAGGCGAGTAATTTACGAAAATCATAGCTATTTTGATCATTCCATTGATAGATATACTTCAGTATTGCATGCACGTTTGCGTTTAAACTGTTGTGCGTTGAACTACTATCTATTTAGAATAAAGCGTACTTTAACACCCGACTGTATTTGTGGTGCTGGCTGTGAAACAGTAGCTCATTACCTGTTAAAATGCCCACGGTATGCTGCTCTAAGATCAATCTTACTCTCGGCTGCTGCACAAGTTTATGGTGATAGCTGGTGTCATTTATCTGACATGAAAAAAGTGAATATACTTATGTTTGGTTCATCTAACTTAGAACTCAAAGACAATACTGTGATATTTGAGTATGTTCAACAATATATTAGGGAATCTAAACGTTTTCTTTAATTTCGTCAAAGCTATCATCTTTCGTTGTTTAATTAATTTATTATGTGTGTTTCTATATATCTGTCTTGAACTTTGTAAAATCAATGTAAATGTAACTATATGTCTGTCTAGTCTAATGTAATAGTAAATGTAACGTAAGCCCCTAGATGAGCCTAGTGCTCTTGGGTAAACGTTAATAATATATATGTTTAAATAAAATAATATACTTCACGAACGATCATTATTATCTCCAGGATGATATTTATGAACTTGTAATTAATATTGTTATACAGTATAGTCAAGTACTTTCATATGAAAAGTTATATTAAGTATTTCACATTGAAATGGAAATAAATATGTATTACCAAATTATTCGTACTTGTTTTTTTCTAACTTCGTGATATTCGTACTGAAACTTTAAGTGTTTTTTATTGTTGCTATGTTTCTCTTTCCAGTTGCATTTTTCACATCTGCTTCTGGTTATGTCGAAATAAATGTATAAAATTCACTCGAAATTTCCATCTACAAAACCCTTCAACATTCGAGTGAGATTTCCCCAAAATTTAACAAACCCATGAACCATAAATGCCATAAGTATTACCCATTACTCATAGATATTTACTCATCTAATCTAATCTAATCTAATCTAAACCTTACCAGAGTATCACCTTAGTATATACATAGTTAATAGAGGAGATGGTTTGGAAACTCGTTAGCATTACAATAAAATCACAATAAACCTCATTATCTATGTTGTTCAGGTTTATGCAACTTTCATCGTCACGTGCGTATTGTATTTTATTTTCCTCAAGTCAACCAATAGGAATGTTCAAAATGTCCTATTGTTAAAGTCATGGATGGGCAATTGGACAAAACCGTTGCTATTTGCTGGTTGAGCAAAAATACAATACGCACGTGACGATGAAAGACCACATTTTTGCATAAACCTGAACAAAAACATAGATAGCGAGGTTTATTGTAATCCTGGTTAAGCCTGGCGCACACAATGCGATTTTAGTCGGCCGATAAAAATCGTTTGACATACCGATATACATCGGTATACTCCGCACACGATTACGAAAAAAATACGCTCCCTGAACTGTAGCCGCCATGTTGCCAAATAAATACAAGCACGTGATCACAGCATGAAATCTGATTGGTTATACTTAAAATTCCACCGATAAAAATCGTATAATATCAAAACGTTTTGTCCGATTAAAATCGAGCAACAAAAATCGGTTAAAAATGACACCGCACACACAACGATTTTGTTAGTTTTAGTCAAACGATTTTTATCGGCCGACTAAAATCGCATCGTGTGCGCCAGGCTTTAGGTGTAATAAATGCATAAATTCACACTTGAAATTCCATCTGCATGTCTGTTGTTATTTATTTATAACTTCTTATTTATGAATAATATAAGTACTGTTTAATAAACAAGCAGGAGTGTTTTATTAGGTTTAAAGCCACGAGCGCGCAGCGCGAGTGGCTTTAGACTTAATAAAACACGACCTGCGAGTTTATTAAACGGCTTCAAAACACGACTACAAATTCAATAGATATACTGCCTTATTTGTATTCTTTATATAAAGAGTACTAATGAGGACACGGCTACAATAGATACTGCCTTATTAGTATTCTTTATATAAAGAATACTAATTAGAAGTATTTTATCAGGCTTAAAGCCACTGCACGTGACATATTATGGTTGACATGATTTGCCAATAACCTTATGAATTATTAATGAGTGTTTGAAGCTTAATTTATGATGATTGTTATACAATTGTCAAGTACTTCCATATGAGAAGTTGTAATAACAGATATCTTTTCATTGCAGTTCATATTGAAGCAGAAATAATTATATTTTTAAAAAGAATTCTTCCGAGTAGAAGGGCATTTTGTTATCATACACTTGTCAGTATATACGAAAACGAGATGAAATGATAGAATGAAGCATGTTCACATGAATGAAATAAGTATATACTGACTTGTATACTCGATCCCTCAAACTTGTCTCCCAAAGTCTGGTGCATTTGCATTAAATTGGTTCAAAGATTTGCAATTCGAATCGCTACATGCATTACTGACAAACAGGCAAAATTTGGCTGATGGACTTTTTGGAAAGCTGGTAAATAACACGTATAACTGACACTTGTCAGATACACATCCGAATACAGACACCTCCGATCTGTTCTAAAAGTACACCCGAGTGGACCACGAGTGACCAAGAATGACACAAATGGACCACGAGTGATAAAAAGCCGTTTCGGAAATCGAGAGTTAAGTGTCGAAAAATATTTACAAACTTACTGTGATATTGTTTCGTAGTTACTAATTCCATAAGAATGGGTTTATATTTTATGCCGAGTGTTATTTCCGCTAGAAAAAAACACGAAAACAAAACGTTTTTCGTCAGTGCCACTGCCCTTCATCTCGTGGGATAGGTTGCCGCTGGAAACGTTGACAATGGCAGTGGCCCAACTCCTTTGAGCAGGGACGCTAGGTCAATTGGGGGCCCCTGTGAATGACAAAGTGGCGAAGTTGAGGTTGTTTACATCTTCTTTACATGTTCTTGCCGTAGCCGGCGCCCAGTTGCTACTTTGAATGGGCAGCACCAGGGGTCCTCTTGAATTTTAGCCGAGGATTCTTTAGTACAAAGTTACGCCACTGTTGATTTATTATCACTATTATGATTTATTATCACTATATATTAATTGTTTATTGCATTTAGCTCCTGGAAGTGCGCCCCGTTCTATTGCTGTAAAGTCAACGGAAACTGGAAGTTTTGAAGTATCGTGGCTGCCACCTGAGTACCCAAATGGCAGGATTAGCTTCTACACAATCTACTACAGTGACGAACCACACAAATCTTGGGAGACATGGCTATTTACGTTCGCAACGAAATCTCCACGAAAAATCAGTCAGATTCAGAATGATCGCCGTTATGCTGTGAGGATATCATCAAGTACTAGTCGTGCTGCAGGTCCTATATCTGAACCTTTCCTTGTCCAAACACTACAGGGAGGTAAGTTACTTTCGAGTACCAAAGAATTGTTAAATTTTTTATTAACCATGCAGGACGTTATGATTTCATCTGCGTTTGTATATGTGTGTGTGTCTGTCTGTCGGCACGATAACATATTAATACGAAATCATGCAAATATTAACAAGACGCTCTATAGAGCGTTAACTCGCTGGGGCTATACAAATACGCACATTAATGTATACTGTATGATACATATAAAGTACACAGCTATTTCAATTAAGATTTAAAGTTGTCCCCGAGTTAAGCGGAAATGTCGAATACGAGCGCGAAACATATGAGGTGGTAACGTGATGTTACATATAGGGACATGTTACATATAGGGATATGTTACATATAGGGGCAAACATAATGACGCAATGTTTAATGACAGAGGAAGTGACGTAATATTTCCAAGTTAATTACAATACGAGTCGTGATACATATAAGGGCGGGGGTAATATGTAACATAAGGTTTACACGCCTGCCCCTATATGTAACATAAGGTGTTCACCCTTAGATCATTGTAAGTTAAGGTTTATAACTCTGCCCCTATGTGTAACATAAGTTTTTTACGCCTGCCCCTATATGTAACATAAGGTGTTCACCCCTATATCTGTGTAAGATAAGGTTTATACTCCTGCTCCTATATGTAACATAGGTTTTTCACCTGGAATTAACTTGAAAATATTTCGTCACTTAATTAAACATTGCGTCATTATGTTTGCCCCTATATGTAACATACCCCTATATGTAACCTGTGATGTAACATCACGTTACCACCCCTGCTCGCGCGAAAGGCTGTTTAACACAGTACTAAAATGCGGTGCTCTACAAATAAAACGTCCGGGCGTTCCGTCTGCAAGTAAAGTTATATTTAGTACGCTATATACATTCTTCTGTCGGCCGCTAGTTGGTCCGTACGCAAGGATTAAACTGCGCTTTAAAACGTTCAAAAGAAAATATTTTGGGTCTTTTGGGCTCAAAATACTATCAAAATGAAGAGAGAAGTGAGACGAATCCACTTGTATACGGCCGAAAAAGAGAAAACCAACGATACCAAAGTTATCAAGGATCAAATGGCACTGCATTTTTTATAATTACTCGCTGGGGCACCTGTGCTCTGGCGAGTATAGGCACAGAATAAGGCACACAGAAGGGCCACTTACGTCGGAAGCTTTGAAGTTTCCTGTCACCCTGGCCGCTATCTTCCTAGCCAGTCGATTACGTTTTCTGGCCAATGAACGCGCTGTATTGGCTGGCCGCCATCTTCCTAGCCAGTCAATTTGCATGTTTTTGCATAGAAAAATGGGGACACGTTGCACCGCTGAGTGGCCCTTCTGGTACTGATCTTTATTCTGTGGTGTAGGTTTCGGCTCTGATTTTTCTCCGATTGATAGCCACAAAATAGAATACTAATGAGCTACCTAGTTTTACCCAAATTATCCATTTGGCTCCTGCCAATTTTTACCCAAATTATCCATAAATAACCCTAAGTATTGAGAAAAATTCAAGAATATTACTAAAAAAGCCAAAGTTGCTGTTTATTTTAACCAGTATGAACATGTTTACGTTCTTTTAAAACTGACATTTTACTGCACTGAGGATTCAACGACACGGAACAATGAATTTGGAGATGTGTTAATGCCAAATAAATCTTGTTAAGCGGTCAAAATGGCATCTTCTAGCCCGACAAAAATAGAAATACAAAGTAAGACACAGCTATCGCCGATGGCGATGCACAGGAACTATTGTATGAAATATAAACTCAATATAAGACTGCTAATTAAGTGCTAACTATGCTTTTGTAAGAACAGAGTAGACCAGACACAGTACTAACTAAATGCGGTGCTTTACAAATAAAACTTTCATGCGATTCCGCATACAAGCTGTGCTATATGTAAAGGTTATATTTTATCGTATTCGCTACATTCCTGTCGGCGGACAGTTGTTCCACACGCATGGTTAATACTTCGCTTTACAACCTTCAAAATAAACAATTGTCGGATCAAAATACTATCAAAATGAAGATAAAAGTGAGACGCATCCATTCGTATACGGCCGAAAAGGAGAAAACCAACGATACGAAAGTTATCAAGGAGCAAACGTACTGCATATTTAAATAGCTGAATAATATAAATTTTGAGAGCGATTTGTGACATTTGTCAACAATACAATTTCGCTTGACTTTCAAAGGTCATATATCGCCAAAATACTGCTGTTCAGTAATGAATTTGGTATCCTAAGTACAATTTCGTACGCTGATTCGAACGATGGTATTTTTTTCCCGGTTGGGTCACTTGGATGCATAATAAACCAGAGATAGTCGGTCTCAGTCAGCGATTTAGACGGGCAAGGAATTTTCAGATAGGCAGTGGAAGCATTTGTTTCGGAACAAACTCCTCCCCCCAAACCGTCTGCTGTCAGGTAGCGGTGCCAAACTTGACACATCGGTGGGACACCGCAATTTTGCAACAGGGGACAGATCACAATTAACTCTTCAATTGGCCATATGATTGTAGTACCAATGTACCATCACTGGGATCTGACAAGTGTATCACTATAGGCAGCCCATTAGCTTTTGACCGCTTGCGCTGAGAGACGGACTTGAACCAAGTCTACCCATTAGCCCCAGCGAGTCAACGCTCTTTCGAGCGTCTTGTTAGTTTAATAATTTTGAGCGATTTGTCAACAATACAATTTCGCTTCGCTTTCAAAGACAAAGGCCATAAATCGTTAGAATACTGTTGTTTATATAGTATAAATACATTTGACATCCGTAAGTACAATTTCTTACATTGCGCCATTTAATAGGCATTACAAATACAATATCATGTTTCACACTACAGCTTTCACCTTTCCACAGACCACAGCTATAACTATAAGGGACTGTTGTTGGATAAATTTTATATTGATATGACACCAATATGCTTCTCATAAAGTATTTATCTATTATAAAACTACGTTGTGTAGTGAAAGTTATAACCTTTTACCTTGAAATTGTCTTTGGCTCGTTTAGATTCAGATTCAGTATATCATGATCGTGCACGGGAATTTAACGATCCAAATTTCGGATTTTCAATTTCAGAGTCGTGCACCAAGAAAAATGCATTAACTAAACTAGCAAGAATGTCCAGAGTTAGACACAATGCAAAATCCATAGAAAACAGATACAATTCGTTGAAAATTTTAACGAAATTGTTTGAAACATTTTGCCCACTCCACGAAATTGTTTGAAACATTTTGCCCACTTGCAGACTTGCTGTTTCCATGTCGAAATTTCTTGTAAAATTGTTCAATTTTCCCGAATTTTCCTCAAAATGCAGGATTATTTATGGTTAATTTGGGTTAAATTGGCAGGAGCCTTATGGATAATTTGGGTGAAAATTAGGCAGCTCATTAATATTCTATTTTGTGGCTATCGACGATTGGAGATTGGAGATTGCCGATCCAAGAATGCTGCCGAAACCTATACTCACCTGGGCACAGATGCCCCAGCGAGTAATTAACAAATATAAAACATTTTCCGTATTGATATACAGTTATATCAACACGAGTGGAATTGGGAAAACGAGAAATTGTATGGAAACACGACGCCCGAAGGGCAGAGTGTTTTCATACAATCTCGAGTTTTCCCAATTCCACGAGTGTTGATATAACTATATATCAATACGGAAAAAAGTTTTATATTTGTTAATTACTCGCTGGGGCACTTGGATCGGCAATCTCCAATCTCCAATATAGCAATGTCAAAAGCCCGAAGGATAAGAAACATTTCCGTGTTTACAAGCGGCCGAAAATTTCCCGTGTTGACATTGAGTTATATCAACACGGCTCTCAGCCTATCAGCGTTCAGACTTTACAAATGCTATACTATAATACCAATTATAATCAACTTTATTATTATTATTATTAAAAACCCTCTGGCAAATAATAAAATTACGATAAATAGCTTAATTAAAATGTCTATAAAGGTAAATATTTAAATTCTATACTATTATATTTACATATACTACATTCTCACAGTCACCGACATTGCTTGAAAGACAGTTGTAATGTCTTAGTAGCGGAAAAGGATGAAGTTTTCGCACCGTCTTGTTTTAGTTACTTTACGTGATGCTCTTGAATTTCCCGATCTCAGGCTGTAACCGTGGGAGTAAGACTCAGCCACATCTAGTAGATGGTTTAAAGGATGACATGGTTGTTGTACTGTATTCATATATTTTTGGCACAAGATATTCCTACGGTTTGATAGCAATGTGAGTCCAGAGATTCGCAAGGAGTCACTGTATTCTGACGCTGGGTAAATAATACGCAATGCCCGTCGTTGGACATCCTCAAGTTGGTTACTTATATACAGGGTGTATAAAAAAAAATGCAACCTCGGAATTTCCTAAGAAATCATTTTGCAATTCTTAAGCATAAAAGATTTTAGGCCCCTGGGAATTGAAATCGAATTGCTAATAGATCATATTACTGTTGTTGTGCATTAAATAAATGCATAAATTTATCCGAGAAGTTTATAACTATTCACTCGTTCAACAACCATTCCATTTATGACTAGGGGACGGCATGCAATGTTGTCATAGGTCATGAAATTAATTATCATTTCCTTGCACTTTCGCGGGTTCAATTTCATGCGATTTGTAACAGCATATTGATGGATTTCTTCTTCAACAATCATATGTAATAAACTCGGTGAATTCCTCGGTATTATTTCTGCTACAGTTAAATCATCGACAAATTTAATTCTGTTGCCCCATTTCTTTGCCAATTCATTGACCATAACATTAAACAAAATTGGACCCAACCTTGTTCCCTGCGGAATTCCTCCATTAGTTGTTTTCCATTCCGATCTAATTCCATTTATTAATTGGACACACTGGGATCTATTGGTAAGGAAGGCAGCAATCCATCGTTGTAAAATGGGATGGACACCTAAGGATTCCAATTTATTGGTAAGGATGTTATGATCAATCAGATAGAAACCCTTCGAAAAATCTGCAAAAAAATTCGAATTGCACAGTGTCCTTTATCAAGAGTTTCATATACAAGATGTAACAAATCAATTAAGGCATCAGTCGTGGACCTTCCTTTCTGTGCATATTGTTTCTCGTCAATTTTCCAGACAGTTGCGATAAGAGGCGTTTACAAGTAAGACCTTCTAACACTTTGGCAATTTGACATGTAAGGCTTATTGGTCGTATATCTTCCTCAATTGTTTTAGGGGGATAAGCTTTTGGGATGGGGTGAACTAGGGATTTTTTCAGCATGTCTGGAATCAAGGATTGTTTCATTGATGAATTGTAAATACAAGTAATCGGAAAAGCAAGTTCCGTTGCAAATTCTTTAAGGACACGATTAGGTAAGCCATCTGGGCCCCCAGCTTTCCTCAACTTGATTTGACGCAGTTCATTAAAAACTTCCCATTCATTGGTAAGAAGCCAATCGGGTACATCATGGGAATTTTGGGTATTTATGGGAATTAATGGGTCAAAATGCTCACTTAGGCTTACGAGGAAGTTGTTGATATTATTTGCCAGGTCAATAGGGAATCACAACCCATCTTAGTTTCCAATTGTTTCTGCCAATTTTCTTTATGTTGCTGTGACCCAGTTAATTTCTTAATTTCATTCCACCATAATATAGCATTTGTAAATTCTGAACGCTGATTGGCTAACTCAATGTCAACACGGGAACGTTGGAAAATTTCTTTCTTTATGTTTCTTTGTGTTATATTATAAAAGAAATATAAAACACTTTTTTCCGTATTGATATACAGTTATATCAACACTCGTGGGAATTGGGAAAACTCGGTTTCCACACAATTTCTCGTTTTCCCAATTTCCACTCGTGTTGATATAACTGTATATTAACACGGAAAATGTTTTATATTTAACAAATATAAAACATTTTCCATGTTGATATACAGTTACGTCAGCACGAGTGGAAATTTGGAAAACGAGAAATTGTGTGGAACACGAAGCCCGAAGGGCGGAGTGTTTTCACACAATTTCGAGTTTTCCCAATTTCCACGAGTGTTTATAATAACTGTATATCAATACGGAAAAAATGTTTTATATTTGTTTTATAATATAGCACAAAGAAATATAAAGAAAGAAATTTTCCGACGTTTCCGTGTTGACATTGAGTTATATCAACACAGCCCTTAGCCAATCAGCGTTCAGAATTTGCAAATGCTATATTATAATTGTTAAATATCAAACATATCAACACGAACTAATGTATCAAACGTATTAATATGAAAATTGGATGAGAAATTAAATTTGGATAAAGTTGGAAAAGAAAGTATACCAAAAGTTTGTCTTGTTTTGCAACCTGGATCAGGGGGGTTTCCTGTTTCGTTGGAGCTGTAGCCTGCACTCAGGCGCAGCTAGCCTCACCTGGCACCAGAAAACCTCTGAACCCTGCTTGCTTTGCCGCAGAGTAAATTGAATGCATAATTGTATAATTTGTATAATTTATACATTGTATAATTTATGCTTGATACAAAGCTTAATTCGCTGGCGGAGGTGTGCAGTCTCCGAGTGCCTTCTAGTTTGATAAATATTTTTTTGCAAAAGAACAAAGCTCATGCTGTGTTGTTTGGAAACTTAAGTTAACATTCGAGGTATGCGCTTGTGAACGAGTAGATGAGTTATGAATGCTCTGAGTTCATGCATCTGAACATCCATAACTCATCCACTCGTTCACATCCGTCAGAAGAAGAAAACCGCAGCAAAAATTGCAAGTGTAAACGGGCCTTATGGCCTTGGGTGACCACGGACCCAATTAATACGTGTATTTCTGTGTTTATAGCTCCGAGCAACCCCCAGAATGTCCAAGCCAAAGTTATATCATCAACTAAAGTTGAATTGACTTGGAAAAAGCCCAGTTATGAGGGAAGTGGTCAAGGAATTGTGGGATATGATATTTATTACAATACTTCACTGGACGGGACTCGTGTTAAGGTGACAATTCATTCACCTGCTGACTTTTCAAAAGTAGTGACTGGATTAAGTCCAGCTGCAATCTATAAATTTGACATAGCTGCAAGAACTGATGCCGGATCTGGACCATTGTCGTTCCCTCAGTTTGCAACAACTTGGGAAGGTGGTAAGTCTACTGTCTTATTTCAGAATAAATTACCAACATTCATCTTTAAATTTACTTATATTTGGACATCCTCCTCGACGTTGTACAACAGCTTGTTAGTTTCGTCCTATTGTTAGTGCTTGACGACTTAATGACAATTTGATGAAATAACAGTAGGATGGTTGCAACTAATGGTTAGCACATATCTTGTCAACATCAACATGCGCATTCATTGCAGTACTTTAATATGCTGCAGTTGTATGATGTAGCTCTTTAACACTAATCACTGCTCAATAATTGCTTGAATGATGCTTAAACGGAACTACGTATGTTAGCGAATCAGCGTTGTTACGTATACATTTCCATTAAGTGACACTGCAGTACACGGCCTGGTGGATAACTGAAAACGGAAAGACAGTTATAAATGGGAGTGACTAAATTGAAATGATGACATCTTATTCCCATACGTGTCAATTCCTTTTTTGCCAAAGCTCTGTAGGAGAGCAAGATTGATGACGCCAACTAGGAACGTAGATTAGACATTATTCCACGAGTTTTCTTTTTTATTAATATAGCACCGTCAGCTCCTCCAAATAACTTCAGCTGTACTGCTATAGATGCGAGTCATATCCACTGTTCATGGCGACCACCACCACGTAAAGATAGGAATGGTCTAATTATTGGTTATTTGATCAGATACAAACTGTCTAACAAAGACACATCTGTTAAGAAGTCTGTTACTAATTCTGTATTATCCATGACCCTTGATAAATTACAAGCGTATACTGTATACCATATTGATGTTGCTGCCAAAAGTTCTAAAGGACAAGGACCATTTTCTGACCGTATTGTGGTGACTACGCACGAAACAAGTAAGTAACCATGTAGAAAATAGGAAGTGCAGTGTTTTCACATCGGCACTTCAATTTCCAGGTGAGTTTGGAGCGGTCAATGGACCAATCCCATATTAATCAAAATTTTGATCTCAACAAGTCTAGACAAAATTTCATCACAGCATGAAAGAGCATCAGCCATCACAAAATTAGTAATATTCCAAAGTTTCGTTGCGAAATGTTGTAAAATGCGGATAATTTAGCCTTGCGAAGTTTGTAATTTTCAGTCATTTTGTATTACAAACGGGAAATGGTTACCACTTAGGAAAATTTTCTGCGCGTAATACAAAATGACTGAAAATTGCAAACTTCGCAAGGCTACAGTATATATTATCAGCATTTTACAACATTTCGCAACGAAACTTTGGAATATTGCTAATTTTGTGATGCTTTTTCAAGCTGTGATAAAATTTTTGTCTAGACTTGTGTGTGCTGTCATGTGGGTCGTTTATCAACGTTGCGTACCACGGTCTTAATGTTGTTAAGGGACTAAACACTACATGCACCCTGGGCGTGATGCACCTGTCATTGCCCAGCTGTCTTTTTGCGTGTAATTGGTCAGACATATTTATATTTGAAGCGCTTTGTCCTTTCACAATGTGTCGTTTCAGAAAAGATTTCCCCCCCCCCCCCCCACGGAGGACGTTTCTGCCGTCCGGAGGGGGATGGGAAAATAGTAAGTGTGTTAGGATATCCAAAGAGTGTAGGGGGTTAAGAGACCATTCATTATTTATGACCGGGGGTGGGCTGGCAAAATTCAATTAACAACTAAACAAAATGTCCTGCCCCACCCCCGGCATCACAAAAAAATCAATGATCCCCAGTCTAAAACCTTCACTTGAAATGTCGAATCGTTTTTAATCTTTTACTGTAAAATGTTCAAACACAAACCTCGACAACTTATCGTATGTTTATTTCCTTTTTTGTTTAAACTCTTTTCACTTTTTGCAGAGCCTTCTAAACCTCCTGAAAATATGACAGCTACAGCAATAAATTCAACAGCCATATATGTTACCTGGAAGGCTCCTACTCCGCCGTTTGGTGCTAAATTAACAGGTTATCAGTTTCGTTACCGAAAGAAACCGCAGGAAGACATATATAGAATAATTGTCATTGTAGGAAATAAACGGGTACGTATGTAAACAAGATGTAAAATACATGCAGTTGTGCCATTGTTTCCATCAAAGAATAAACAGTGGCGGATAAAAATATTATTTACATGTATGCTCTCGTGAAACTAGTAAGATAAGTAAGATTCGCATCCGATCTGTATCTGATTCACAACCACTCGCCTTCGGCTTCGGCTCACGTTTTAGCCTGCTCGCAGACATTGTAGCTCGCGTTTGTAAATCAGATACAGATCAGCTGCTCATGCTTTATCTATTACTTAAAGGTTTATTTTGTCGTCATTCTCATAATGTGCTTTCTTTGTATCATAGCGAATAGTGTTGACTTCATTGAAACCAGAGCAAGATTACGAATTCGTTATCGCTGCAAAATCAGCGAAAGGAACTGGAAGATTAACAAAACCAGTTGTGTGTAAGACCAAGCAAGCCCCTCCTAAACCGCCTGTCTTAGTTTCGAAGAAACTTGCAGCTCCACAGGTCGGCGTGGCTCTAAGCTGGACAAGCAAAGCTCGAGATATTGAACAATTTCAACTAAGATATGCAAAGGACGTGGAAAAAATAACCAACGAAACCTTACTTAGTAAACTTACATTTGTTGAAAAGATTTTTTCATCATCAGTTACAGCGTATAACGCCACTAACCTCGGTATGTATTATATAGCGGCTAGCTCTTGGTAGTGAAACTTTGTTGTTTAGTGATTTTAGTCAAGTAAACACATGTATGTCACCTTTTAAATTTCGCTGTCACAAGACGCGTACTGTAAGGACCTGCTCACATAATCCCAGCTAGGTGGGACAGTTGACGAGATCCCGCTCATAATATAAACTCTCTTCCATCCCAGCATCTGTTGCCGAGATCCTGCCTAGCCCAGACACTCTATATTGGCTAAGTGGATGCCTTTTCTCGCCTGTGCGAGTTTCCCAGCTAAGCAGGATGAGAACATGCCGTCTCGCCTAGTGAGGGTAGTATAAACATGCTCTATGTGTTGCATTGTGAATCATGCAAGAGAGGTTCAGATTTGACTTCCACTACTTCTACCTCTCACTGGCTTAATACGTACTTGACTGGTCAATCGGGTGGATTAAATGCATCTCAGATCAGCATCTGATTGTATTCCCCACAAGTATTCCCTTTAGGACAAGGGGATGTTTTTATCATTGTGTTTGCCCAACTTTGCAAAATTCGTATTGTGATTATATATATAGGAGTTAGTGCTTCATTCTCATTGTAATTCTGGCAATGCGTAAACAAGTGTGTTATTCTCGAAATATTAAAATAACACGCAGGATTTGTTTTATCAGCAGAGCTTCTCGTTATTTCGTAATGCCCGTAGAATCTGACATGTCTGAGTTTTTTCCAGGTCATGGTCTATGGTATGTGTTCAAAATATCTGTTAAAAACGTCGGTGGATGGTCAACAGAGCGTGAGGCATGGCTTCTTATGGATGCTGCAAAGCCCACAGGTCCACCTCTCAATTTCAGAGTGGAGCCCAAGACGTCCACGTCTGTGCAACTCTCATGGGATTTACCTGAGAAATGGAAACGTAATGGCAAGATAATTGGTTATGAATTGAGCTATCTACAAGTCGGTTCATCTACCAAGAGAAAGAGTGAAAGTCTTGATGATAAAAGATTGTTTGAATTACAAGGTTTAAAGAAGTTTACATCGTACCAATTCAGGATTCTGGCTAAGACAGTGGCAGGGGATGGGCCTGCTGTGAACATTGAAGGAATGACTAAGGAAGATGGTAAGATTAGACCTCCCGCATGCAACGACCATGTCATGGTTATCGATGTTAAATAGTCTTGACTTGTTTGTCTTTTGTGAGCTGTATGTAAATCAATCTTTACTGATGCAAAAATATCGGCATTCTGTTACACTGGCTACACGCGTCGCACACTACATCAACAGGATGTGTGTACAAGGCATTTTCCGAGTTGTAACAAAGTTGATAAGGCCAACAGACTCGCAACAAGTTCCAACAAGTCTGATATCGCCTGCATGTAACAAGTTGACAAGTTGATGACAACGAGAGACCCACCGGCTGGATCGAGCCTAGATGACAACAAGCTCATAGCAACTTGTTACGAACAGCCTGTATTTGTCTTGTTGGAACACCTTGTAGCAACTGTTACCGTCATTAAACTTGGAGATAATAACTTGAAATCTGCTGTGTTGGTGTAATGTACTCAGGTGAATAAGATGTTTGTGTGATGTTACTCTGAGTGTATATCCACACCAGGCAGGCTTGAAAAATATGCCTGGCCACGGCGGGATTCGAACCTACGACCTTTGGAATACTAGCCCAATGCTCTTCCAACTGAGCTACGCGGTCAGGACGGTTCGAAATATCAGTTCCGAAATATCGCTTACTCGAACCGTCCTGACCGCGTAGCTCAGTTGGAAGAGCATTGGGCTGGTATTCCAAAGGTCGTAGGTTCGAATCCCGCCGTGGCCAGGCATATTTTTCAAGCCTGCCCGGTGTGGATACTCAGAGTAACATCACACAAACAGATAATAACTTGTTATTCATTCCAGACAGAAGCGTACGGGACGGAAAAAATTTAAGTGGGAGGGGACAGAATTTTGCGCGACTTTTCCCCGACTTAACAAAAACATTTTTTCCGGGTAAGAATTGTCGGGGGGAGGGGGGACGATTATCGTCTATTTTCGTCAATTTTTCTTCCGTTTTCGACTATTATCTTACATATTTCTTTTTTTTTAAAAAAATTTGTGGAAACAATGCCCACTTTTGGGAAACATGACAAACAAATAATATTTTCGCAATAATGTTTAGTAATTGACTCTAGAAGTGCTTATGCATGTCACCCAATTTTCAATCCACCTAAACATTAAGTATAAGCAATGCGATGTGGGATACATGTGGGTCAAATATTCATTGTTTGACAGTGACGTGATGTAAGGACTTCTATGGTCAATTTCTCTGGACCTGACAATATTTTATTTCATCAAATAGTACCAAGTGATTCCCCAACTTTGACCGACGCTGCAGGAATGGGTACTAAAGTTGTTAGATTGAAATTCAAACCACCTTTAACACCTAATGGCCGCATCATTGGATACAAAGTAAACATCTACTTGAGTAATCCGACCTATGCAGGAGTATGGAGAGATGATGAGATGAATGAGAATGAAAATAAAAATGAAATGTATGTGGGAAAACTTTTCAAACCTGATTCTAAATATTGGTTTACTGTGGCTGCCAAAACAAGTGTTGGTTATGGTCCATTTTCTGACCCGATTTTCGCTAAAACATTGAGCTACGACCGTAAGTATTGAAGGTGTTGATATACTAGTGTATGTCAGGGATACTGAAGTATGATAGTTCTTAGATCAGTTAATATGTAGCTTATTGGACGATAAGAGTTCTTAGGTCGTTAATTATGTGTGACATATGGCATCACATACTACACGTCATGAAGTGACATCGGGATTTTACTCACGTCGGTGAGTAAGGAGTGCTTACCTACTAGTCCAGACCAGGGAAAGCTGGAGATACCAATTTCGCATCTAATCTATTATTTGAGCCGTACCAATGGCTCAAGGTGTTTAATGCCTTGTAAGGGACTCCAATGTCCTATTGCATTTCACACCTGTCTTTTGGCAAATCTTTAAATAAATAAATAATAAATAAAGTAGCTATTGTTTGGGCCTATGTTTTGATAAGCTTGGAATCTATAAGATCTTTCCACCCGTAGCCCCAGCTTGTATCTTTAACCTTGCCATGCAGGGATTCCCCAGAACATTGCCGTTGGTCCCCCAGGGTAATGCACTCTGCCTTGGTTGGCCATCTTAGTCTTAACTATATTGTTACAACAGTTACAGTGTATGGCTAAATATCAGGATTTGGGGTATCTCGCTTAATTGATGCAACTTTTGCGATTAGAACTCGACAATTGGACTCTGTAGCTGAGTTGGTTCGAGCACTGCACTGGAATCGCAAGACCACAGGTTCGATTCCTGCCAGAGGGGCAATAGTTGCATTTTTCGCAACTTCTCCTGGTTAGGTCTCGTAAATGTGTAAAATTTACACTCGAAAACAAAACCCTCCACAACTGCTATGTTTGTTCTTGACCATTGCTTAAGTTTCCTCTTGATGGCTGAAGCTGTGATTATTATTTGTTTTAGTTCCGCTACCAGTTCGGAAGCTATCTGTGGATGTGACAAGTTCTAGTACAGTCAAGTTGCAGTGGGATAGTCCTGTGGATACAGCAGCTGTACACAGTTACAAGGTACTCAGCTTTGGTACATTTTGTTTGATGATTGTGATACCACACTTTCCCTTTCCTTTTTAGCAAAGACAATACTTTACTACTGTGAACAGTGGGAAAAGTAAATACAGGGTATTACGTTAGATTTTCTGGGTACATTACCAAGATACTAAGAAATAAATGCAGATGATACAAAAGTTCAATTCATTTCTTGTTGTTAGATGTTTGTAATTAACAACAATTCTGTGCTGTGACTCGCCTGTGAGAAACAGGCAATACAACAGTGAGCCTTAATACTTGGAAACCGTTGTTACGTTGATACTCGTCATCGTGAGAAATATAAGCAAGGGAAGGGAAGGGAAGGAAACGAAAGGTCGTTTGTCTACTAGCTCTTCTGACAAAGAGAGTGCGCTCGAAACGCCGGAATCTCTGCAAAAGTCGGTTTTCCACTAGACGGAGTTTTGCGCGCGGAGCAGAAGTTTTCTTTGTTATTTCTAATCAGTTCCACCCGAGAAATCACAAGACAAAGAACAAATTGCTCTCCGCGCGCAAAATTACGCCTAATGGAAAACCGGGTTTATACCGAAACGGTGGAATTTTCTACACCGCGCGATCAACTCCCGATTTTCGATATTTTAATCATACTTCAGTAATACGAGCAACAAAATTGCTGCAAACGGATTTGATTTCATCGCATTTAGGTAGAAATTTTATGCACGTTGACTTTTGTATGAACACATTAATTAACATACGTTGCAACTAACTAGGAATTAACAACGTTCGTTGCAAGTTGCTTCAATTTTAGTGCTTGTACATGTATTACTTCACCCTAACATTTCTTTCAGATCTCGTATCGTAGTGAAAAGATATTCATTGGTGGCGATAAGAAAGAGGCTAAAATTGAGCTACCTGAGGAAATCAAGACAGTGAATTGCTGCAAGCTAAATTCGGCAAGTTTAGAGAACCTGGAACCATGTACCGAGTACACTGTGGAAATTGTGTCCGTCAGTAAATCAGAGAGGGCGAGCGAATCTAAAAAGATAAAGATTAAAACTAAAGTGGCATCATCACCAATGTTTCCTCAACCAAATATCTCAACAAATGGTATCACTGAAGAATATATACCAATTTATGTGCATCCAGCCTCTGAGAGATATGGACCAATCAGGTATTTAATGCTATTTATGTTTGGTAATTAATATACGCGCCCTTATGATCCTGCAGGAAATTTCGAGCGTGAGTTTTTATACATTTACGAGACCTAACCAGGAGCAGTTGCAAAAAAATGCAACTATATAGTCCCTCTGTCAGGAATCGAATCTGCGGCCTTGTGATTCCGGTGCAGCGCTCTGACCAACGGAGCTAGAGAGGCCATAGCCTGAGTATCAGACTCAATTTTACAAATAGAGCTTGACACAAATCTTCACCCGGTCACTCTCCACCCACAACAAAGTTTATATTCTGTCAATTTCACATAACTGAACAACAACAATGTAATTATAGTTAACTTAGCATATATTGAAATTTCGCGAATTTTGGCCAAGAAAGGTTTGCTAAGCATCACTTAAAAACGTAATGAAATGTTAAAATGTTAAAATACTAAATGTTTAAAATACTAAAAGTTCTAAAATTCTAAAAATCCCTTTCGACACGCGTTATATTAATTGTCGTTAAACCTCTTCAGAAAAACGCTAAACCTCTGTTTCGTCGTTAAACCTCTTCAGAACCCGCCATTTTGTTATGGTATATTAACAACATACATTTAATAATAAATACAACAATTGTATTTCATTACAAAAACTGTATAGAATACACGAGTTTAAAGTTAAAAGAACCTACTCAAACGGTTTCAGCAGCATATCCCGTTGCCTGTTGTGTATTTTTCTTCTTTTCTGTTACATTCTTTATTTTAACACAAACTTGAAAAATCGTAGTTTATAAACTTGCGAGTTGTGCCGCCATTTTGTTTATTTTATGTAGCTATACGTAGCCGGTCGGGGCGGGCTGCAATTTTTCACGGCGGGACACTTTGCATTTTTGTAAAGCCACGTGTCCATAAATCAGTGAATCACGTTTGGTGTTCACCCTAGATATAACAGTTTGATTTGAAACGGTCAGTGTATTTGATTCTTGGTTGTAGCATACTTTCCTTTTGTCTATATAGCCATTATTTAATATACGTCGCAAGCCTTGGTAAAACAATATCAGAAGCCAGGGAAAGACTTCGGGATATCAGACATTCACGATCACGGCGTGCTGTCAACACGAATGGCCGTGATGACGTTCATATCGCGGGAAAACTGAATGCAAGTGTTGTTCCAACCACATTTAAAGTTGGTCGAGGTCAGATTCAGAACGGTCATACAAACAGACGTTTGGAACTTGGTCATTTTTATGCATTCTCTATCCAGTCATGTGTTCTCGATGAAAATTCGGTACGTATATTTAAGCAGTCCGTTTATTATAGTTTAGGTGGTGCCTTTTACAAGCGAAATTGGTTTGTGGTTGTGTCAATTTCTGTGCTGTGTTCTCCAGCATGGTTGGCACGTCAACACCATATATTGGTGAGCTTAAGCAAGTGACGTTTTTGTAAACACGGGCGTCACCTGAAAATTGGTACAACTAATTTTGGCGACATTTTGCATCATAGCGCTCGTCCAAGAAAGCAAAAAACTTTAAAATTATTTTGTTTTGTCATATTTGTTGAAGATTGCCGCAAACTGATACAAACACAGTTTTTCATCCAGTCCTCCCTCGGCAGTCTGACCTCCGTGTTGACAAAAACGTCGTTTAAGGGCGGACCATCAGAAAAGTGATGGGGTTGGAGGAGGAAGTTCATCTTCTGCTTGTGTTGGATATTTTTGCGGAATTTAAAGGTATTTCTTTTTGTTTTCCCTCTTTGCACGAACCCCCCACCTTTATCACTTTTCTAATGGTCCGCCCGTCACCACAAAGAATAAACCAAAAAAGACCGCTAAGAAGTAGAGAATTGTATTTCTGAATATTTTATTTTTGTTGCAGCTGTGCCTTACAACATCCACAGCTTTCACTGATCCAGTCGAGTTCAGTGGTAAGTAAAACCTTTCTGTTCTCATGCTAGTGTGTTTATAAACTAACCTCATGATATCGATCTAGTGGCAGCTCCTTAATTACTAAGTTCTCTCCAGACGTCCATGCATGCATGCATGCAGTATGGACAGTGTGATTAAAGGAGACGGCAGAACATGCGGTGTTTGGTACAGTCAAACTGGAAACGTTCTTCTCAGATGTGACTACGGTGACATTATAATCATGCATACAGTACAACTACATTTGCACATGAGTCGTTCCCGGATCGCACAAGTGAAATGCCCTTGCACTAACCACTGTGTGCCATATGTGTACTCAAATCATCTCCAGTATATTATTAGAATCAGTGAAGTAAAGAAACATAAATATAAACTAGAGGGAGACTGCATACCTCTGCGAATTAAGTTATGTATCATGCATAAATTATACAGTGGGCTAATTACACAGCCCCCACAGTTTACTCTGCCCAGCAAATCAAGACAACTCTTGTTAATTTCTCATCGAATTTGTATATTAGGTAATCGCATGGGGCCGAGTAAAATTAAGGTTTAATTTCACGCGTGTTTTCAATGTTTCAGAAATTGTGAAACTTGGAAAACACAAGTGAAATTAAACCTTAAAGGGGCAGTATGATCAAAAATTTTATTTTCTTAAACGAAAGTGCTCGTAAAACTGTATAATAACTTGTTTTGAAGATTTTTGTTCCCATGCTTAGTTCCTGAGATATTTCATTTTGTTTGTAACCATGTGACGTCATCTACTCAATTACATATATAATGAGATATCAGTAATTGTTGTGTATCTTTGCTATTTTTATCAAAATATTTCGAAAGATGCGGCGCGTTTGTTAATTTAACCTGCATCATTAAGCATACTGTGTTTTTTAACAAATCGATCAAAAATAGCAAAGATACACAACAATTACTGATATCTCATTATATATGTAATTGAGTAGATGACGTCACATGGTTACAAACAAAAGAAATATCTCAAGAACTAAGCATGGGAACAAAAATTTTCAAAACAAGTTATTATACAGTTTTACGAGCATTTTCGTTTAAGCTTTGGTTTAAGAGAATAAAAATTTTGGTCATACTGCCCCTTTAATTTTACGAGGAACTATGCGATTACTTGTTAATCATAGAGGGCAAAATTTATTCGTTGTTAATTGTGAACTTGTCAAGTTCTTGAACCTCGTATTTCTCCATGTCTTCGCCGATGTTCCTTAATGCTGCCATTTCTTAAATACTCCAACCCATAAATTTGTACTTTTCACTAGAAGTTTTTTTAAAAACTAAATTAAAATTAATTTAAAATTAGAATTAAAATTCTTCAGTAACATCATTATCCGCGACGACAAAGCGAGAAGCCATTGTTTTTATTGCTATTTAAAACAAGAAACTTCCCGCACTTGCGTCTCAGCCAATTAGGTACAAGTTATTTTTTCCCGAATTAAGAAAAAAATGCCCTCATCATTAGCCAATCATATTTGAGTAATTTTGCCCTCTATATGATTATCACCCAAATTTAACCAAATTTTAATCAATTTCACCTTGGGCAATGTCATTAGTCCCACAAATTTAGTCTCAAAGTAGTTCTCGTTTTTAGTGCAGAGTTTCTTTGAAACTGTGCACTATTGTGATGACTGGGAAAATTCACATCAGTCAGTCAGTCAATCAGTCATAGAGTTAACTTTCCGGGGGGTGTATTATATGTATACGATTTATGTTTGTAGTGATTTATTGTGCTTTGAAGGTTATTTAGGCAATTTCAGTTGTTTTATTTACATATTTTTTGTTCTTTTGCCAAGTTCACAAAAATTTCGAGGAATCGTTGTCGTTATTGTAAATTTTTGTAAATTTTATAACATTCGCTTCTCACGTTGTGTGAAGGATCTTTCCCCCGGAAAACCCATTTTTTTCTTTAGCAACACAAATGCGCATGCGCTATCAAGCCGTATATAACGATGGCGTGATGATGCTAGGAAGGAGCGCTGGAGCGACACAGTGTTGTTTTCAAATTATAAACATTTTAGATGTGAATATTGAGTAAATCTTTGAGAATCTACGCAATATATAAATCGATGTTATGCATTACGGACATTCAATTAAAGATCGATATTATTTTGAGGGTATATTCATTGTGCAGAGCTAGGAAGCAGCGAGACAGTGTTGTTTTCAAATGTATATATAAACATTTCAGACGTATATTATATTGCGAAAATCTTTGAGATACAACGCAACGCAATATATAAATTGATGTTATACATTACGGGCATTCAAGTGTCGATATTAGTTTGACGGTATATATTCATTGTACAGAGATGGGAAGCAGCGAGACAGTGTTGTTTTCAAATGTATAATTATAAACATTTCAGACGTGTCAGTATTATATTGAGAAAATCTTTGAGATACTACGCAATATATAAATTGATGTTATGTACTTATGCATTACGATTTACGGGCATTCAAGTGCCGATATTATTTGGAGGGTATATTTATTGTACAGAGCTAGGAAGCAGCGAGACAGTGTTGTTTTCAAATGTATAAACATTTCAGACGTCTAAATTATATTGAGAAAATCTTTGAGATACTACGCAATATATAAAATCGATGTTTTGCATTACGGGCATTCAATTAAGTACCGATATTACTTAGTTTGACGGTATATTCATTGTACAGAGCTAGGCGAAGCAGCGAGACAAGTGTTGTTTCGAAATGTATAAACATTTCAGACGTGTATTATATTGAGATTTTCTTTGAGATACTACGCAATATGTAAATTGATGTTATGCACGTAATGCATTCAAGTGCCGATATTAGTTTGACGGTATATTCATTGTACAGAGCTAGGAAGCAGCGAGACAGTGTTGCTTTCAAATGTATAAACATTTCAAACATAAATATTGAGAAAATCTTGGTTTACGTGTCTAGCACAACGTCAACGGTGCAAACTCGTGTTCAGACTTCAGTGCAACGAGAACTCTACCAGATCTTACGAGAATCTATCTGTATCAAAGCTTGTCAAAACTGCTACAAACACTGCTATAACTGTGAAACCATTGAAATATTGATTACATGCGAAAAGCTGAAAATGAATCATGAACACAACGTGACCTTCAAATAACTCAAAGGTCAGTGAGCTTGTTATTGTGACACGTCACAACTAGGTTAAATGCGGAAGCGGATGCGAAACGGAGCGGATCCACGGAACGGATATGGAGATAAAATGCGGAACGGAACGGACTTGGATAAATCCTCTTTTTTTACGTTTCCGTGTTTTAGATTTATGTTTTTTTTGTCATGGAACACAACGTCGTAGTGCTTATTAATTATTCATAACATATCTTATAAAGCTATTTCAATTAAAGTTGTGACTGGGACAATAGTCAAATGTACAATATGGGCGCTAAAACGATGATGGCATTGGCAATAATCATAGATTTAAGTACTATTTAAAGCACGCGTAGGAGTGTTTTATCACATATAAAACACGACGCGTAGCGGAGTGTTTTATATGTGATAAAACACGACTACAAGTGCTTTAAATAGCTTCAAAAACGACTCATCTTATACGAGTTCATTGGCGAAGTAATTTTTAAAATAAACTTTGTCTAAACCGAGAAAATCAAAGCTAAAGTTTATGTAAATTAACATGATTTTTTATCACATATAAAACCACGACACGCTTATGATTTTTCTTTGTGTTTTGCTCCTGAATTATTAATGAGTTTTTGAAATAAGTTTAGCATATCAGTAGCCTTGTGGGGATACTTGGCGACAGCTCCAATAAATTGTGTCAGTTCCACGAAGCACGACGTTTCTGATGTGTTAGGCTTGTTTTAAACGTCGGGTTACTCGTGTGCCGAACGCATTAAAAACAATAGATAATGAGATGAAATGCCTATGATAATTGTTTATTTCGTAGTGTAACCCATCAGCTTTTCTAGGTTGTCGGCGATCCTATATAATCCTTGCAGTGTCTTTCAATTTCAAACTTTACAACATAACAGAAATTATGCCTTGTCACTATAATATTATATGGGGAAATAAATAATATTACATAACTCTCGTTATTCTTCAACCGTAAAGTATTATATTTAAACCAGATCTTAGCATTTTTACTGTTGTAACAGTTCCCCGCGCTATTACGACATGTGATTAAGGCTATAAACCACGCTTGAAAAGCTATTCAATTAATAAGCATGCCTTATAGCGTTTGTCTTTGAAACTCTGCACTATCCTTGGATCCCTAGTTTTTTGTTAAATTGCTTTTTAATACAGGCTACTCCATCTTGTTTTGGTTGGGGGTGGAACAAACAAAATTATACCATCCCACCAAAACTCAATTTTAAAGTCGTCATGGTACCTAATACCCGATCGGAGATTACCCCCTCACAGGCCAAAGGGATTTACACACGTACAAATTACACACGTAAAACGCACAAGCTGTAACAAACCTGCAGCAGACTTTTACCAATGCTGTTCTAACAACTTGTCAACAGGATGTGTTCCAAGCTTGTTCACAAGTTGTCAACTGCTTATTGACAACTTGCTGCAGTGTTGTTGTGCTCAACAGACTTGTTCCAACAACTTGTTATCGTCTTGCAATTCAACAATTTCAAGATCTCCCACGGCCGAAAACTCTTTGTTATGATAAATCGACCAGTACAAAAGATTTAATCGTAAACAATCAGAATCAGATTACTTTTGACGAATTACATCTTTCCCCAACGGGTTTAGCACCCATGTCAACATATACAAGCGTGAATAGTACGTGTGCAGTACAAATATTAAAACCGTCGAAGCATGCAATTGTAAACCACAGTGAAAAACAGATTAATCAGTCATCTGCGACTAATACCTTTGTTTCGAATTTAATCCCAAGAACAGTTACTAATTCAACTTATTCAAATGAATTTAAAAGAAGACAGAACTTCTGTTTTAACTTATTAAACAAGGGCGGCCCGACTGAAGAAGGCTGCCACAACAACAATAATAATCCACCTCGAGTGCAATGTAAGGATCTGCATAAACAAGACGTTAACCAAGCTATCCCCACACGCATTACCTACCGTATTCCATCTAAGGTTAGAGCAAATCGTCAACAGGGTTTTCGGCCGAGTTATGCACGCCGACGGGCAGACTGGATACAGCACCTGGATTTGGTGCACCGTATACTGAATCCTTTAATGGAAATCGCAACCCCTGTATGGCCACAACATCCTACCTACCCCCCTTTACCACGATCACAACCCCAGGGTTCCCTCTCACCAAAACGCTCGAGATAACTCCAACATCTTATAATATCCCTGTGGTTCAACGAAATCGCAAAAATTTTGTTAGAGATCCTGTTAAGTCGAAATGCCGTAGCCACGTAAAGTTTAATTGTATTGAAATTAACACGCACCAAGTAAAGAAATGCCCTCTCCCTTCCCTCCTTGTGTCAAATGTCTGTCACATCACAAATAAGGTGACTGAACTATCTGCTGTTATTTCCAATAACAAATCAACAATAAATTTGATAGTAGAATCATGGTTAACAGACGACGTTCCCAATAGCTTTATAAATATTGGCGACAACTATCTTATTTTTCGTCTTGATCGACCAACACCGAGGGGTGGAGTTCTAGCGGGGTGGAGTTCTAGCGTACATCGATAAATCGGTACCAGTATCTCGTCTGCCAAATCTTGAAGAAGCTGGAAAAGAGGTACTTTGGCTGCTCCTTAAACTCCACCGCTCACCGAGACCCTTTAGTGCTATCATTGTGGTCACCGTTTATTATCCACCGGGGCAGTCTGTTGAGAAAGAACATGAAATGATAAGCTACCTCACAGATGGTCTGGACAAGGTCCTTCATTCTCGTCCTTCGACAGGAATAATTATTGCTGGGGATTTTAACAAATTGAATTTAAGACGCCTATGTAACCGCTTTAACCTAAAAAAAATGGTTTCGACCCCCACAAGAGGTAATAACATCCTAGACCAGATTTTGACCAACATGGCTGACCTCTATTTACCTGCCAAACATCTACCTCCCTTGGGTCGTTCTGACCACCAATGTTTGCTGTTATCCCCCCAAAATGTCAACAAGCTTCCCCCTACTTCCAAAAAAGTTAGACTACATAAACCCGAAAACAAACAAACATTGAGTAGAACTGTTGCCCTCCAAAACTGGGACAATGTTTTAATGGCAACAGATGTGGATGATAAAGTCGAAGCATTTAATAGAACGATACTCTCTTTGCTAGACAAGGCTATGCCAGAAGTGACAATCCGAATGCATACATCAGATAAACCTTGGATTACCCCAAAAATAAAGGCACAGATTAAAGCTAGGCAAAAGGCTTACTGCCGTGGTGATAAACCCAAGTACGACCAATTATGTAAAAAGGTCTCAAAGTTAATTCGGAATGCAAAACAATCGTTTTATCATACCGAAGGGAGAGATCTTCGCCAAAAAGATCCTGCAAAATGGTATAAAACTGTCTATACTCTTTTGGGTGCTGAAACGAATCATAACTCTTTACAAACTCCATCTGATGAAGATCTGTCAAAGGTTGCTGAAAACCTACAAACTGCTTTTACAAACCCATGGAAAGATATCAATGTTGACCTCCCGGACATAAATGAAGTTAATCACTTACTTAAGGATACGTCACCACCGCTACCTTCCTTAGGGCAAGTACGTTCCTGCCTAAAGCACCTTAACCCAAAGAAAGCAACAGGGATAGATAAAATCCCTGCCTGGTTTTTAAAGCACTACTGTGATGATCTTACGCCAGCGATACATAGTATCATAACAGGCAGCATTACCCAATCCAAGTATCCCACTGCGTACAACCATGCAATTGTAACTCCGGTACCAAAGATACATCAACCCAAAGATATAAACAACGATTTCAGGCAAATTTCTGTGCTTTCTCATCTAGCTAAAATGATAGAGAAAATCCAGTTGGAACTCAACTCTCATGATTTGGCAATAAAGGACAACCAACATGCTTTCGTTAAAAATCGATCTACTGTTTCAGCCCTGATCTCGATGACCCAGAAGTGGTTTGATGTAACAGATAACTCCAATATTGGAAGAAAAGGGGTCCATACTGCGTTTTTGGACTTCAAAAAAGCATTCGACCTTGTCGACCATAGAATTCTATTAATAAAATTAGCGGAAATGAATGTATCGAAGGCCTTCTGGTCGTGGGTGTAGTGTTTCCTTTTTCCCAATCCTCTCCTGAACCCCCACCTATACAAACGGATGGAATTGAAATAGAAAGAGTAAACTCCTTCAAACTTCTCGATGTATGGGTGCAAAATGATTTAAAGTGGAATACCCATGTTTGTAAAATAACAAAAAGAGCAGATAAGCTATTATTCCTTCTCAGAGAGTGTAGGAAATCCTTCCTACCACCCGAGATTGGTTTATTAACATATACGTCGAAGATCCGGCCAATACTTGAATACGCCTCTCCAGTTTGGGGTGGAATCCCTAAA